TATAGATGCTACCAAGTATCGTTAAGCGACGAAAGTACCAAATACATTAAAACGGTGTTCGTTGTCTACTAAACTCATTGGCAACTTTGACAAGATCTAAAGCATCTGTTTTGTCATTGTGGATATGCAAAAACATTTTTCTTGGGAAAAAGTGGAATGGGGGGTGGGGCTAATGCCCTCCCGGCCCTCCCCTCGGTTTCTACGGCCCTGTTTTTAGAGGCAATGTGTTAAAGATATGCATTTAGGACTCGTATTTTTTATTTATAACACCATGTCAAGAATGTAATTAACTGAACCCCAGTTGTTTCGGGAATGGGATAATGGAACGGTCAAAATACTTAATTAAATTGAAATATGTGACAAGATTACAATCTCATTGTGCTAAATAAGGTGCTGCAAACATATCATATCAGCATATCATTTTTAGCGTTTTTCTATCTCGCATACGTATGATAACTTTTTCCAGCAACGGTTGTCATTCCAGGTCAGGTAACTACTCCTCCTATACTGTTGGTGGACGCAATTTTGGCGTCTTCCATTACTGGGTTGACGTCTTCCCCATCTTGTGTACCGGAATGGTGAGAAGTCCGACCAACGCCAACTATGACCATGCCTCTTCAAACCAATCCAGTATGTCTTCCTCCATCGTACCCTACCATAAGATGTTCTCCAAAGCGTGGAGACGAAATTGTTTTCAGAATGACTTTCGATGGAGACGAGGTGACCTTGTCGTCCTTTTCTCCTAAAGGATTTGCAATGAGCTTCTGCTTCATGCCACCTCCTTAAATATGAGAACACTCGATAGCAACTTCTTCTAAATGGAACCCAATATCTTGGACATTTGCAACGATCACGAAATGAGCCATCAGAAGGGCTTGCAGCAATCGCAATGAAGATAAAAAGTAGCAATACCTATCAATAGAAATATAGAACATACAATAGTATGAAAACTTCTAATATTAGGTCTATACTAATTATATTACCTATTACCCGGTTTGTAATCCCTGTTGGTATATACGGTACCATATCTAAACAGTCATATATATATATAT